CGGGCGGCGCTGGTGCGAGTGCCGGCGCCCTTGGCGAGCGCGGGAGAGCTGGGCACACGGGCGCGAGCGCAGCCCCCGGAGCTCGGCCTGGCCGACCCGCGGCTTCGGGGAAGTGGGGAGGGGTTGGCGCTCGGTTCCTTGCCGAGCCTTTGTTTTGAAACCTGACTCTTTGCCTCTTTCTCGTCCTGCTCTACCCAGTCCCGCGTCGGGCTGCCTCACTTTGCCCACCTTCCTTAAGGTTTGAAAGTTTAGGCTGGGCATTGCCTGGAGGCACAGACAGGAAGGAAGCCCCTGTGAGCGTTTTCTTACACAAAAAGGACTGCGGGCGAGGAGAGCAGAGGCCTAGGGAGTTTTTCGGGTTTTTAAAATTTTTTTAATTGTTTTGCTTTCTGTGCCTCCCTGTATATACTGATGTCCACAAAAAGAACGATTGGGAAATGTTGGCGAAATGACTCACTTGCAAGGAGCCGTTTGATAATCTCTTTCCCTGTCTTCATCAGGTGCCCCACGACCTAGCTCTTCAGTTATCTCGGTGCTGGATCACCTTAATCTTTACTTAACTTTGGCGCTAGGCAGTTTTGAAGTTCTGGAGTGCTGTTGCGAGCCCAGAAGTTGCAAGGGTTTGTGAAGGCTACCTTTGTGGCTGATGGCCTGTGTTTCATGTGAATACTGTGGCCTGAGATGTCTGGGGCATGTAAGACTCACAGTAAGAATTTTGAAATTTTGCATTTCCTTGACCGCTTAATCTGACTCAACTGGTCTTGCTCAGGCTAACCTAGAAATCTCAAGAAATTGTAGCCTGCTTGACCTCATTCCTTCCCAAAGTTTCAAAGACTAGGAGATTAGGGACTGGTGGTGACTGATTTTATGTAGAATTTTTAAGAGGGCTGGCTGTCCTGTTGTTCCACAAAGGTATTCTGACACGCTAAGGCCTAAGATTTTACTTAGCATTAGCATTTTTCCACCTTTCCCTCTCTAGCTTGGCTTTGGTGAAGTCTGGAATTCACAGGTTCATTATTCTTTTCACTTTAAGAAACCTGGGTAATGGAAAAGATAGATCAGGACTTTGAAAATCGTAACTCTAGAGTGTCTCGTCTCTTGCTTTGGGATAGGAGTCTTTTGCTTGTTTATTGGTGGTTTTGCTCTCTTTTTAAAATGACCTTAGGTAGTGCTTCCTCAGGGTGAGTGATGAGTAGAGTGATAATTGTAGTGCAAACCGAACTAGTCATGTAAAGTACTAACCATATATATATAGTGCTGTGATTTTTTATCTAGACACCTATCCTTGTGGTTACTTGAAAAAAAAAAGGTTAAAATTTATTTTCTGTGTGTACATTTATGTTATCGTTAGATCTTCATTTCTTACCAAGACACGAATGTTTTATGCTAGGACACTTTTAATCAAGGCATTCTATGAATACTTTCCATCTAAAAATGCACTTTGGCTTTTGTTTCACATTATATGATGTTTGGCAGTCTTGTGTCTATAATCTGATAAGGAAATGCAAGGTGGTTCTTTCATGTTTCTTTGTTAAGTTAGAATGTAGTATCTATTGATTTTGAGGGAGGTTAGAAGTTGTTGAGACCATTGTCTTTCCAAGCATCTGACTTTTCCGGTTCTAAGATCATCAAAGGAAATGATGTATTGTGATAGGAACATTGTAATGTTTTTGATCTGGGAAATGAATTGTCTAATATAATTCTTAATGATGGTCCAGTTACTCCCGAACAGTATCTTTACCCTAATTAAAGACAATAAAACTGGTGTAAAACATGCACAAACGTTGAGACTGTTGTAGTAGTGAAGCTCCAACCATGTTTGTGGAGGTTTAATCGTCGTTTGTTTAATAATTCTGGCTCTTGATTTTCGAACCCCATTTAAAAAAAAGTTTTGATGCCATCATTTGTCTTCTTAATTGAAACCTTTGATACACCTAGCACTATGGGGTAATTCCAGTAGCAACTGAGAATAATCATATAGAGATCTGTACCTCTTCCAAGTGCCATTTCTTTAGGAGGGGTGGGGTACCTTGTGACATGTCAGCAGAGATAATGGGTAGCAGCTGACACCAGGATAAAGGCGTATTTGAGAATCTTTTCTGTTAGATTAAAATCCAGTGCTCTCCCTAGTTTTTAAGGAGATCAAAGATATCATTCATCATTTGGACAGACCTTTTTAAAAACAGGCATACATACATACAACTGTGATAATACGTGTATGTTAGGTTATCCCATTTAAAACTAAGACAGAGACAGACATTCTAGTTCATAAATAGGAGGAAAAAATGAGTCAACAAATAGCAACACGTGTCATTTTTGGACTAAACCGTTTGCAACATCTGTATACATTTTACAATGGAAAATATTATTGCTAATATTGAGGAATAATTATTTCTTCTAAAACATTTGAGATTCTATAAGACAAGATTTGAAATAACTGATAACTGTTTTTAAAATTGTTAGATCTATAACTGAAAAGCAATATATAATTTGTAAATGTTAGGCTTCTGACAGTGTTCTGAAAGTTTTTTTAGTTTAATATTTAGAGCTGAAGATGTACGTTTTCTAAAAATCAGGACATTTAACCAGTTGATAAAGTTAGATAATTTTTGGCAACTTAGATTGTTTACTGAATTTTCTTTCTGAAGCATCAGTCAGGATTTTTCACTTTACTTTCACTGTCTCCAGGTTCCCTTGATAGAAATTGCCCACTTACCATAGTAACTTAGCATTTCTCCAATCTAACCAAGATTCTGTATTATCACAATGTTTGGTTTGAGCATTAGCTGGCTCATCAAAATCATTCCAAACCCCTTTCCAGTTTATCACCTTCTTTGCTATTTCTTAAGTGTTAGTTTTTCCACTTCTAGCCACTTAAGCAGTTGCATTCCGATCCTCTCCTTTTCTCCCGGTGCCAATCTTTTCTTCTTCCAGTTTAGCAGTTCCCCAAATTCTGCACTGTATTTTGTATTCTTGTTCAAATTGAAAGTCTCACTATTTCCACAGTTGCTGAACTCTGTGCTTGTGTATGCTCATCATCTAAAATCATTGTACGTAGGAGTGACTTTTTTCTTGAAGTACAAGTGGCTACCATAACTATTTCACAAGTGAATCCTTTTTTAGTGATAGACAAAATTGAATATATTTTTAGAAAGAACAAAAAAAGGGAAGCTATCTAAAAAGCACTGATTAATTTTAGATTCCAGACACTCACTGCCATAAGAGAGTAAATGAGTGGCATAAATCCAGAATTTAAAGGGAAGACATAGCAAATTATGCCAGTTAACCTAGTAGTCCCAGAGATCTAAGGCCTATTACCTACACACTAGAAACCTAATGTGTTGTCAGTATTTGTGAGATGTACTTTAGCTAAAGTCCCAGAGCCAGTTGGCTTTCCCTTTTCCTCAGAATTTCATAGCAGCTTTTATTATTTTTATGATGAAACACTGCTTGGATCATCTTGGACTAGATCTTTACTTTCTTCATCTGGCTTTATATCTTTCATGTAGCCAACAAACATTTAGTAAATATATGAATGTAAGAATGAATGAATGTAGTATTCTATATTCTCTGTTGGTTTAGAAATCTTATGTTTAACATAATTATTTCGTATTCATTTTCAGAGTCATACAAGCTCTTAAGGAGCAAAGATAATGCCTTTAGCCACGTGTATCACATATCATTAATGCCAGTATTAAATTTACAAAGAATTGAGTCTATTTTTCCTGATGAATTTTTTATTAGGTATGTCTTATGAATAGAATTCATCCAACATGTATAGGACATGTATAGGACAGAAAATTTTTAAAAAGTAATTCCTTTCTCTTCTGAGTTGGAAGTAGTCACTATTATAATAGACTAAAGGAGTTAATTTTATTAAGTGCAGAGCCGTTTCACACAATATGGGAGTTGGAATCTAGATACAGATTTTTAAAATAATATCAGGCATCTGCCGTGTGCCACATGCTGTGTGAGGGTAGTTCCATAATAAAAATGTCCTGCAGTGTGTAGGGACATAATGCGGTTTGGAATACATGGAGCTATTGTAAAGAATTCTTTAAATTTATATCTATATCAGAAATGCTTCTTGCTTATGGGAAAAAATAAATTCAGTTTATGCTATATGCAGGCGTGAAATCCTTTCTTGAATGAATAAACATATTATTTTCAAGTGGACAGAAATGTTAATTGTAAAAAAAATTTTTTTCCACACTAGCAGGTATTGAAAGGACAGTTCCCAAGTAGGAAACTATAGTATATGGAATTACTCATTGATATTTTAAAAAGGCATATCAGTAGAAAAGATAAAAAAACTTGTTGATTCAGGCTGTCCTATTCATTTTCCAGGTGAGAATCTGTGGGCCAGACAAGGACAGTGAGTTGTACTAAACTACTGAGGTTAAGTAGGTGGGCATTGACGCATGGGGTCCTAGATTACAAAAGTTTACAAGTAGGAATACACAGTTTAGTTGTCCCTCTTCCCACCTTCCCTCTCTTGCTTTTCCTGTCCCTTTGTTCCTCCTTTTTAAAATTGTTCTGTAGATATGTAAGATTAAATGTTTGATTTAATACCACCTTATATTTAATAGAATGAATAGACTATTTTAGAAATATTCCTGAGATTAGTTATTGAGTGTTTCACAGAGATGCTGAGTTATTATTTTATTTTTTACTTATTATTATTATTTGTGTGTGTGTGTGTGTGTGTGTGTGTGTGTGTGTGTGTATTGTGTGTGTCTTTTTTGAGACAGGGTCTCCCTATGAAGTTCAGGCTGACCTTT